TAAACACGTTCACGAAGACAGTAGAGAGGTCTAGAGATTGAGCGAACGACAAACACATGCATGCGTGTATGTACGTAGGGCAAAGAGGCTTATTGTACTTTTTGCATCTAGCTTACTTCATCTTACCTTTAGTTTCCATATAGTAATTCTCCTTGGACAGTTTATCTCATTCGTGTGTAGCAGCAAAAGCTAGACTCACGGCTGCAAAGCGTCAGTGCGTCACATGACACTTCAGTCGGTTCTTGGCGTGGCCCGGCGAAGACGAAATGTCTCTTGCTAAACAAAATTCAAGCAAAACGTAATCCTTTCCTCAGACAAGAAGCGGAAGAAATTGTAAGAGGCTCGCCGTTCCCGTAGCTTCTTTCTACAGTTTACAAAATTGTATACTCATTAATTATCACGGAAGACGAAACAGAACAAAATATAATTTTGTCAGGAACGATACGAACGCGTGAATTTTATCCGAGTTTGGTCGTTAATTTGCCGGAAAGCGTGCACAAAAGCCAAAGTGAATGTAGAAGCTGTGAATTGGATCGCCCTCAATATTGAAAATTAAGCATTTGCGGTCTGGCCCTCTCGCCCTAACAATACATTAAGAGGTACTTGTTAAATCCTTGAATAATCTATGAGGCCAGTCTCACGAATTGACAGAGCGTTGTAGACGTGATTGTCCAATGACAAGGACTTTAAGGTCATCACTTCTGGTTGCTATATTCATTCTGTTTGGCTACCGAATCCCAATGCAGGGGTGTAAATAGCAAAAATTAATTTTCCCTACACGTTTAAGACAATTTTCGAGCCCGACATAAAAATTGTGTCGCCATAGTTTTCTAATAACTGTCGACGACAAATATCTCAAGATTTAAGGTCTGAATTATATGTTGCCACTGGATTAGTTTTCATTAAATTTTCACGTCTTTAATTGCATTGCTTGGGTAATTAAAAAAAAACCCAGAGACTTCCATTGGTTTTAAAGTTCGGCTGTTCTCTGATAAACCACATGTTTTCTGCGCATGCCCTGCACGATTAGTGGGTGAGAAGGTTGGAAAACCATAATAAGATGTCAACAACTTAACGTGGAAAATTCATCAAAATTTACATGCGAAGCTGCACTTCAGGAGAGCTTAGCTCCTCCTACTTTCCTTGCCAACTAATTTGCATGTTAGTTTGGCTGGAAGATTAAACTTCCGCTAAATTCTGTCGTATTTTCAAGAAAATTGTAGATTGCGCAAAGCCTTCGCCACAGCCCA